ATGGCATATCCTTACAGACTGCTGGTATCAGTTGTCCCAGCTGTGTCCCCTCCCAGCCTCAGTCTACTTGGTGGTGGGGAAGTGCAAGAAACAGAGAGGGCATGAAGCTGCACAAGCACTGCTCAGCACTAACTGAAACACCCCATGTTATCAACACTGTATTGGTCACAAATCCAAAACACAGACCCATACAAGCTGCTATGAAGAAAAGTAACTCTATCCCAGACAAAGTCTGCATACTTGGGTCTTCATTCTCCCTTTTTTTACATTTTCAGTGTATTCTACATTCATTCTTGCTCTAGCAACACAGTACCAATATGTGGTACTGTAAGAAAAGTGACCTAGGTTTTCTGCATGTTTGCAACAGTGATAGCAAGGACTAGAAATTAAGTGAGGTCCTTGGAACACACCCCTAAAGCTTTGCTGGTGTCAGAATTTCATGCTAAATGTCTGTCCCCAAACCAGCTATCCAGAAACAACTGCTGAGCAAAGCGCATGCGTTCTCAAGCTCTGAAAAACAAACGCCAGTCAACTCCAGGTCTGGGACAGGAAAGCTCTCTCTCTCTCTCACTCACTCGCCACTCACTGCACGGAGGAAGCGGCTCTCTACAACCAAATGATTTTTGTAAGACTACAGAATTTTAGTAAGAATTTTTTAAGACTACAGGCAGACAAATGGGAAGCCAGGAAACACAACTCTAATGCCATAAGCCACAACTCATGTCGGGGGTAGTTTTTAAAAAAGGGGTAGAAAGAATTTGATGTTACCCCAAAATGTGACAGAGACAGTCTGATTTAAAGTCAACTATTGAATGAAACAAGTACCTTAACCTCTCGAAGGTTCATGCATTCCTCCCAGGAATAAAACTTTCTCTTCATTCTACAATAGAAGAGGGAAAAGAACAATTAATACATGGGCAACACCAACTGGTCTTAGACTCATAAGTCTCATTACATTGTAACAATTCAGTTCTTCAATCAAAATATAACGTGCTACCTCCTTTGTCAAAAAACTTCACATCTCTAGACAAGGCACACTCTAATAGAATTTAAAAGCATTACTATTACACAGGATTGCATTGTTTTTGTATATATATCTTGCTGCAAAAATTGCAGAGCCTTCAAAAGTCAGGGCACACTATTTTTCTTTCCAGTACACAGTGTGGTGGAGTAGAGTCTAATTGGAAAAAGGACACAGGTTATGACAGTTATGAACAACTCAAGACTAAATTTGGAAACAAATACAATGAAGAGCAAACTAAAATGCCTTCACTGGGTCTCCTGAGTTTTATCATATTCTTCTTGGTCCCCTTTGATTTCTCTATAATTTCAATGCTTTTCCCCTCTAAGTTGTATTTCTTCATTTTTCAGTGTTCACTGCTCCCCATGTTTCTCTCGCCCTTGCGAGTTGTATCTATCAGGCCAACTGCTTTTCGAATTCTGCCTTTCCTTTCACGCTTACAAGCAACTTTGCTCCAACAGAAACAAACTGCATGGCAGATCTGTTTTCTCCTAAACCAGAATACAGCTCTGACACAGTATTTGTGTGTAACATATTTGTTCATATGCACTTTGATTATGACTCAGTTCTTTCACACATAACTCTCTGCTTTAGGACCAAGAGGATGAAGGCTCAAATGTACACACACAGAGAGAAGAGGACAGATTAAACTTACAAATAAACCCAGCTGCTTAGAGCCTGGATTCAGAGGGAGTCAGGCACCCTTTGAAGATATGAGTCTTTGTCAGACTTCAATAATAATTCGGTATTATTTCTCATTGTAGTAAGTTTCCAGTTTGAAATCAGCTCTTATAACTAGAATGGTTTAAGAACTACAAGCCCTTCATTTCATGAAGGGGTCTGGATTATTTTTTTTTAATATAAGCAGTGTTTTTTCAGTTACTGTCTTGTGCCTTCAACCACCAGGCTATTTCTGTTCTTAATAATGGACTGGCACTAGTGTGTAAGCTGAGAGAATACCATCTTCAGGTTTGTTCTGAAGTTCTTGAGTTTCTACCACATTGCAAAACGAAAATCAAAGGTGCCTCTGGCAAGCTTTGATACAGGAAAAAATACCCACAGCATAGAAGATTAGAAAAGTTGCTAAAGCCAGCTATTGACTGTTCATACAAAACAGCACTGTACTGAAAGCTTGTTTGACAAGTATGTCCCTGGGTCATGGCTGGTATTTCAGGAAGGTGCCTGCAATGCTCTACTGCTGTCTCTTACCACAGCTAGGACAAATAAGCCATTTACAAACTGCGGTCACTGCTGAAGCAGCAGAGAAAAATCAAGAAGATTTCTCAAGGAATTTTAATAAAACCTTAAGCTGAAAAGATGAATACATAATAGCATATAAAGATACAGATATTGGACAATGAGAGCTATTGTGTTAATTATCACTGCAGTACTAACATTACACTGGAAACTAGACCATGAAATGTATGACCCATGTAAGCAGGAGGGATGGGGCTACAGATTCCAAAGCAGCATTGCAGAATACTCATATATAACACACGTCTGATGCCATAGCAGCAGAGCACTGTTACAATAAGCCTATATATCTCACCCTCTTCATCTTCTGCTGGGGCTTTGGAGGATACCAGGAAGCTGAGCTTTGCATGCTGCCCCAATACAACTCCAAATACCAATGTTGTGTGGGATGTGAAGTACTCAAACCAGCACGAACAAGTGATGTGGACCACAGAATGGAAGAACCTGGGCCATCCACTGTTAAGCACCAAATGAAAATACTTACTTTTTAATGGCAATTAGCTCTCCGGATTCAACGCTTCTCCCTAGGAGGACGGAGCCGTAGGTGCCATCACCGAGCTGTCTGATAGTTGTGTACCTATTCATGATGAGGATACTTTAACTGCAAGCGCATTTCAGTCCTTAGTGTTTCTGGTGTTTCTCCTCCGAGTGTAACCAGTTCTTTCTGTGGCAGCATAAATATAGAGCACTCAGGACACTGTGAATAGTTGCAGGAATCATGTTTTCAAGACTTAGCCTTTGGTCTGAAAGCACAGAACATAATCCGTTTGATTTCTGTACCCTTCTGAGATTGGCTGTTTGCAGACTCCATTCTCCTCCAAGACATTTCTTTAAAGCTATACACAAGCACTTGTCTCGGTCTCTCACCTGAAAGGCCAGCCTGTACCTGGATGTAACCAGGTATGTTCCCCAAACCCACTCTTACGCTACAGTTACATGTGCTTTACAGGAAGCTTGCAGGCAGCCCTAATGGGAGAAACTATTACTAAAAGGGGAAGATAAAAGTCTCATAGTTTAGAGAAAATAGTTTGCTATCAGAAAAAATGCTGCATTACAGTAAGACGGGGAAATCTGTTCTAGACAAATTACCAGCTAGACAAGTCACCATCTCACAAGTTGTACTGCCAACAGTTAAAACAAACCCATTTCCTGACATTCCATAAGGTCCTATGCTGGAGATACAGGCATCTGTATTTCCTCAAACAAAATCTTCAGAGGAAGGATATTATATTCATGTCAGATAAGACCAAATGTACTTCACCACAGCAGCCCTAAGCATGAATCAGTCTCTACAAGTAGCGGCTACATCAGAGTACCTATCTGACCTTTTGTCCTGACACAGCATCAACAACAGAATGCTAGATAATAAAGCCAAAAAGTTCTTATTCCCTCATTTATTCTGTTGCTAGTATTTTCTACACCTTAATTTAGGACAAATGTGGTCTATTCTATGTAAATTAACCATACATTTGGAATAAAACAGAATTCCCCTGTAATGAGGGTTTGGTCCCTGCATTCTCTTTTTCTCCAACTCTACAAGGACAGTTCTATTCATGGCTGGTGACTTTTGCCTTCTGTAACCTGCATTTAAACTACATTGCCACATTTTTTAGCAGCAGCAGCCTTAAATCTCTCCTCCATCTTGCCTTATTTCAACAAAGCCAAATTACGATTTTAAAAGTAAAGGGATTATGTTGCTTGAACTCTGAACAGAGCCACAATCCTGCAGATGCAAGATGTTGTGAAGATCCCTTGTTTTCAGCCTTCTAAGCCTATTAGTCCCACTAATACTGACACAGGAACAAACCAACAGCAATTAGGAAATATGATGTTAATATATCTTTTTACACATTGTGTATGAAAAAGAAACAGCGTGTCTCTAACACTGTCTTAGACACCGGGTAGTGTCTCGCACAGGCAGGAGGAACTGCCCTCTAGCAGTACTCGCTCCTCTCCCCACACAGCTGTACAGAAACACGACTCAGCACCTGAAATTAGAGACCGAGTCCCACATTTTGTCCTGCTTGCCAAGGAACACAGAGCCTGTCTGTAAGAACAGCGCTTTGGAGTACCAGTTTCTTTTTGTCTGGTTTTCAGGCTGTGCACCTGCACAGCATAAAGCTAGGTTTAGGCAGTGTCCTGCCTCCAGCTTAAAAAGCTTTGGTTACTCCAGCTGGTCAATGACTGTATGGCAACTCAGAAGTCTTGGCTCCCAGGCCTTTATTCATATCCTTAGCAAAAAATTTCAAACAACTACAAAGCCTTGCATGGTCTCCTAGTCTGAAAATGCAATATTTATTAGTGTACAAACAGATAATTTTACACAGTGACTTCTAACTGAAAGAGATGGGATTTGTGGATTTTTCAGCACATACTCACTCCCCTAATGCCAGAGTTCTGAAATCGTAATCCTAACAGATGTGACACCTTACAATTCATGGACTGTTATGCCACTCCTGGCTTACCATCCACATATCCTTTCCCAGGGGACTGTGACCGCAGAGCAGAGGAGCACCTTTGCCTCACATTTGATAAGCACAGCAAACCAAAAGATACATAAGACTGCCAGCACACGGTATTGCCAGTAAAAATCACCAATGGCTATCACGGACAGATCGTTTGTCCCATGTCTCTTGAACTGATGAAGCGGTAAACATAACTGCCTGTTCCTTACTGGGGATACTAACTTAGGCCACTCTCCTGTCCACAGCCACTGATTTTCACAAAACTTTTAAGAAACTGTCTTTCTGATTGCAGCTCTGCTGTCGGACGTGACCAAAACTGACAAATGAACTGAAATATTTTTGAGGCATAAAGGGGAAGCAAAGAACCTAGAGAGGAAAAAAAAAACCAGCCAGAAAATACAGACTTCAGTGAGGAGTGCAAGTTAAAAACCATGCCAGGAGGCACGTAAGTTAACATGGCTCCTATGGAAGCACAAATCCACCTGTATGAAAATCCACTGAACAAAACCTAAACAAAGTCTTCTTTGGTTCATTAAATCAGTACCAATCCTTGTTGAGCTGAACAGTAAAGTTGTTTTTAAAAAATCTGGTTTAGTTTGCAAGATTTATATTCCATCCTTAACACCTTCTGCTGTCTCTCACCTTCAGCTATAGGAATAAATTAAACCTCAGCCTGCAGACTGTCTCACCTAAGCAGAGTCTCACCGAAATCACTGAAAAGCACAAGTCCCTGACAAGCAGTGCGCAGAGCTACTACGTGTATAGTCTAGCCTAGATTCTGGTCTAGAACTACAATCTAGGCAAATTCACATCGTTAAAGGATGTAAATACAGACTGCTAAACTGCCTTGGCACAAAAGAGAAAAAAGGAAAAGCCTTATTTTCCCCGTATTGTCACACGGTGTTCAGACTCTACCTCACCTATAAACACTTTCTTCCCATAGAAATCAAACAGCGAAGCCCCTTTAAAAGCAAAACTGCTTTAATGCATCAAGACTTTCTAAGGATAACTCAAGCTTGCCCTTTCGCTTACGTATGCCTTAAATCCGTATCCTGTCCCATCTGAAGGGCTGCGGCGCTGAGAACTGAAAGCGAAACTGGCTTACTCTCCCTCCGCCAAAGCTGAGAAACGCCAACAATAAACCATCACCAAGGGCCTTTTAAATGTAGTCCTGTGCTCTGGCAATAGCCCGGCGGTGCTGCCGGGAAGATGCGCAGAGCAAGGCGTGGTTTAAAGCCACGGCTTCAAATCGATGCCGTCCCAGCAACCGCTGTTTACATTCGTTAAGGAAGGGTTCGGGGGTGCCCCATCCGCTGAAAGCCAAGGCAGGAGCAGCGGGAAGGCGGGCCCGGGCGCTGGCG